CTGAGTTCGCACGCAGTGCGACAGTATGACAACCAAGGGGTGACCAATCGTTTACGGCATTTGACATGAAAAGGAACACGCAACAATTCGCAACAAGGAAATTAAGCAACGACCACGCGATCGAAAAGAGTACCCGTTCGGTATTGATGCCGCTGGTCTGCGGGTGAACGAGCGTCCGAGCAAATTTCTACTATGGGGTCTGTAACTTAAAACGCGCATGCAGAAAAAAAGACTACTCACGTTGGCTCCTCTTTAAGAGGACTTAGTAGTGGTGATGCAGAAATAAACAGCCACAACGCCGCATATCAAAACGGTCGCAACAAAACAATAATGCGCAATAATGCCACTGGGCTGGAAACCTGAATTGGATTGTGACGGCTATGGTAACGGCCCTACCCTTTATATCGGGCGGCAGTTTGCACCTGCTTGCACCACCTAGAGCACTATATAGCTCTATAGTGCTCTGGCACCACCTAGCTGACCTAGCCTAGAAAATAAAACTCCCCCGGGTTGCCAGCCGAAAACGCCATTCTTCCAAAAAAGGATTCGTTCACGGACCGACTAGCCCTTTTTGGCGCAGTTTGGCGCGGTTTGGCGCAGTTTGTGTCTTTAGGCGCAGCAAGGCGCAGGTAAAGGAGAATTTATCAAAATAGCGCAATTGGCGCAGCTGGACCACCCCTGCTCGTGATTTGTGTAACGCGAGCATGTTTTTTTACACCTCTCGAATCATGGATTACAAAAGGATTGTGTACTTGGATTCAAAGTGATGTCTTGCTCGCCATTCTCTCTCGCACCACAGAACCCAGCGATCCTAAATTCAATCCCCACCCATACCCGTTTCAATCTGGATAAGCATCGTACTGGCGTGCGGCCCTGTCTCACTACTGCGTGGTGCACGTTAACTTTTTCCTGACCACAGGAAAAGCAGCAAGTTTTGAAAGATCCAAATACACAAAATGTGTTCCACACTCACGACTATTACTTCTCAAAGTTAGTGCACTCTAACTGACGTTGTCTATTTTTGATTCCTCGGAGAGTAAGTAACATGTGTACTTTTCACCAAAGGAATGCTTATGTAGTCTAAGCTCATAACAACAGACCTGGTTACAACAGACCTTTGGATACAACATACCGATTTGCAAAGTTCGGTTGGTTTTCCTCTACAAACCATTGACTCAACTTCATATCTGCATACAACATACTCCTTTTACAAAAGACCAAAATCTTGGTCAAAATCCAGGTCAGTTATAACGAGCTTAGACTGTATTAATAAAACACAGAGACTACAGCTCACATCCCCAGCAGAATGCTTTCTCTGTGCTCTACCTTGGTTTTGTCAAAGCCATGATTGCGCTTCCGTCAAATTTAGCATTTCTGTCCGCCTTGTTGGGAACATAAAACGTGCATGCCGGCTCAGGACAGCATTGTAAGTTATAGTGGTACAGTCGAGCCCCGTTATATCACACCCCGGTATTTCAAATTATTGTTTATATCAAACAGTCCAAACATCCCCTTGAAAATCACATGTAATAGTATAGGAGCACTGTTTTTCTGTATCAAACTCTCATGGCGGGGAACCTCGATGTAGCGAACGAAGCACCACCCCCTGTCACTTCACCCGCGGTCGGATTGCGCCCACGACAAGCACATAGCTCGCGTTGCGGGGCTGGCAGACGGCCAAGCCAGCTAATGCGCACGGAAATAAACAGCAAAAGAGCAGCTGCAAAAAAAAAAAAAAAAGACAACCATAAAAAGAAGAAAAAAAGAAAGAAAAATGGAGGATGGCAAAAGGGGAAGGGCATGCATGCGCGTAGGGAGGGCAGGGAGTGCCCGCTGTTGGAACGGTAGCGTGTGGTCTTTACCCGAACACCGCTGTCGCTGCGCAACTCCTTAGCCCCACGATAAAATAATAATAAAAAAAAGTCTGTCAAGTTGAGTGTGCCTGCAACAGTGTTGTATACGTTCCTCGTAAAAAGGAATGGAAGCTTTTTCCTCGTTCCTTCGGATCTTTGTAACGCGTTCCCGTTATAAGTTTCATATGTGAAAAAGGAACTTGTTCCCATTACAGTGAAAAAAATGGAATGTATGGTTACATATATATGTTACATTTGTATTTTGCCGATTACCAAATTTGGTTGAATGCATCAGGAAAATTTTTTACCCATTCCCTTAAATGGCAACATACAAATTTGAAGGCCGTGATAGAAGCGCACCAGGGGCTCTAAACTCGTCAAACACGGAGTTCGGGCAGAAGTTCACGGAGTGCACTGATTGAACTATCACGACGATGACTTCGCGCTTCGTCGCTGGCGTCCAATCGCTGCGCTTCGCGAACTTTCAGTTCCGACTTTGTGTGCGACGAGTTTAAGGCGCCAGGAGAAGAAAACAAGCAGAAGCAGAGTTTCATTTGTCGATATATTCACTTTTAAAAATCTCTGCTTTTAACCATAGCCATGTTTGTGGTGGGCGATTCGGAGGAGCCAAATGTCCAGTTAGCCCACATTGCACGAGCATTTCACAACAACTTCACACGTGTCAATCTAACAAAGTCCCTTGTTCTAACTAAACAACAGTTGCTTCTCGATGTTGCTGTCCGCGAGACGAGCAAGTGAAGAAAAGGGTAGGGCTTTTGGAAGGTCAGTCTTGAAAACTTCAGGTCCTTCTTCGTGAAGTTTGGATTCGTTGCTCAGTTTAAAGGTGGGGGACAAGAGAAGAAGAAATAAAGATTAGTGTTTGTGTTTATTTTGAGTGACCAATGTTCGAGATACAAGGGTGTGTTCGATGTATGATAACCTGTCCTTTTGTTGTAACGGGAGTTGTCTTCGTGGAAGTTCAGTGATGGCTCTAGTCGGCCTTAGATTTCTGGGTGTATGAAGATTCGTAGAAGTAAAGAAAGTTGCTGAGTTTGAGACGTCCCTCTTTCTGTGTCGTTTCCTTTGACTAAACGTTTTTCCTTTTGTACTGCAGCCTTGGGCGCTGAAAAAACGATAGATGTCCACTAGCTCTCCTCCACGCGACCACTACCAAGCGAGGACCACACAAAATAAACCCTAATATAAGTAACTAAAAAGGTAACCGAGATCCTGCTCTTTGTAAAAATATTGTTTCTATACTTTTAGAATTTCCCTATTAGAAATAAATTAAAAATTGTCCCAGTAGCCGAAAAAAGGAACGCCATTCTTTTTCCCGTTCCAGTAAAAATGGAACGAGTTCCCGTTCCAGTTCCACCGATGCCAAATGGAACGGCGGCGTTCCTTCGTTCCTCCTAAAAGGAACGCGTTCCAGGAACGCCGTTCCGTACAACACTGGTGGGTAAAAACGGTTGAGCAATCGCATTTTGATTGCCTTATCTTTGTTTACCTTTTTCTTTTGCAGTTCTTGCTTTGCCCAATTTTTTTTTTTTTTTCTTACCTTTTTTTTTTTTTGCTGTCTGACTTTAGTGAGGTTTCTTTATTGTAGCTTGCTTAACTTTATTTTATGAATCGAGATTTTTTTTTTTTATGCGGCTAGCATTCTTTCATTTTTTAAAATTATTTATGTGATTTGTTGCCGGCGCTGTGTGCAGGGCATAGCCAAGCATAAACGATCGCAAACACCGTCGCATAAACATGGCAGTGTCTGTGATCTTCACCAACTAAGCTCCAGTGTATTTAGTGGCTCTTAGAGGCTCTATTTTGTAAGGTCCTGTTTGTCGCGGCCTTCGGTATTAGCAGAGACGCGCGGAAATTTCAACTAGAACTTTAGTTGACACATTTTTGTGTATCAAATTATTAATATATCGAACTATTTTACAATCCCCTTTGAATTGCCTATATCCGGGTTCAACTGTACTTACCAACAACCACCTGTTAAGTGACATCTATAACATAATTTACAGTGTCTCCAGAGCTCTTGAGGTCTAAAAAATATGCCCCAATACAGTTGAATTACGTAAATAATGCCATCTTTGTTACGAAGACTGATGCATGCAGTTAACCATGTTAGACAAGTGCAACCACCGTCCCAAGGACTGTTGTTGGCAGCACACCACCTTGTGATCCAGCTAAAATCTATGCTGAAACCGAAACTACAGTTTTTCGGCTATCCACGAGGTTGTAGAACATGATTCTCCTCACTAATTTTAGTCTTTTGATGGCGCTTGGAAACCATCGATCACGGTTGATCGATGGACCACGGGTGCGGTCAGGAAAGAGTTAAGACCACAAGCTAGTGGTTGTATTGCACTGACTAAATTGCTGATTTATAGCTGAGAGACAAGTTGCCTGTAGGCAGAGTAACTTCAGGCTGTATAAACATACACAAGATGTTTTTGCCATTCTCCGATCTCCTTCGGTAAATCTTAAAACTCTCGAGTCTCTACATGCTACACTGAATCGTAAACATGCCAGACTTTTTTGAACATGATGAACCAATGTATACCCGATAACATTGATGGTTTAAAGCACATGTTTAAACAACCCACCCCCTTCCCCCCCCTCAAAAGAAAGAAAAAAGTGTCTCCATAACTTAAAAAAAGAAATGAAAAAAAAAAAAAAAAGGCAGGTGACAGTTGGTTTTAGATACAGACCAGCAACTGGCCTTTTATCCAAAAAAAAACAACACGGTTGTGCTGGTCAAAAACCAGGCAGGTGACAACTCTACCAACAGGCGCAATGGTGGTGCGAAAATGCGAATGAATGATAAGAGACAAAAAAACTGCGCAGGCGCGTTACCACTAGCCTTGTATCGTTCGAGACGGAAGACGCATCACCAACGGCCTTCGGTGACTTTCGGCCCCCAAAAGCCAGGGATAAAATTGACGAGAGCGAAATGTAATTAAGCGATAACGCAGAGTTTTTCCTAAACCCAACACGAGGGACGTTTCCCGTTCGATGGCGAACGTCCTGATAATATGAATAGTACTTCGACAAAGCCAATTTCAAAATACGAAGCCATCGTTTTATGTCGAAGTTTGCCGAAAGCGCGTCGACCGGTGGAGGAAGGGCTCCGCCCGGACTCACGGTTCCTCGGCTGCGAGGGGCAGGGGCCGCCCCGTGGTGAAGTCCTCCTCGGGGTCCAGGTAGGAGGGCCCCTGGGGGTCCTCCTCGGCCTCCGAGGCCCCTCCCTCGTCCCACTCGCTGTCGCCCCCGTAGTTGCTCTCGTACTCCTCCAGCTCCTCCTCATGGGACGCCCGCACCACGGGCACCGTCTCCAGCATCACCTGCAGACTGTGACGCACGGGGTGAGGCTGAGCCTAGCTCGAACTACGGAACGCATCTCCGACCGGCGCGTCTGTCGCACCCTAAAAGGTGGTCCCTCCGCTTCCACCCGATAAATCGCACCACCGTCACACCATCACCGTCTGCAATCCCTGCGGAATCGCAGCGGCGGTGGTAAGAGACACGGCAGGTGCCTGTTTTGCCACAGGTCGGGACTTCTGTCGGGACTTCTAGCACCGATTGCCGGGATCGTCCTGCAAGAGGACGCACTGGCTTCTGCGACGTCGTTTGTGGACATCTGGGGACCACTTTGGATGTACCGGCAGGAAAGAATGCCAAACGCGCAAGTTGGAAGACGCATTCCGAGCACCGTACTTGGATCGCCCGACCTGGCTTTCTCAGTTTAAACTTTGCCAATCGCACAAGCCTCGTCTAATTTGACCCTACCGGCCCCGACCTAGTTGGATTCTGAGGATCATAATGTGAGGCATGAGTTTGTGTAATTCAGTTCGGGTTGAAAACGAACGCCGATGGAGACCGAAACCAAGCAACGTGGGCACGGTCCGGTCTGCCGCCGACTTCGTTCCTCATTAAGCAGCCGCGACGCGGCCGTCGCCGGTCGTCGGCTCGTATGCGGCGAGGTTCCCAATTCGTACCTTGTCCTTCTCGAGATTACGAAAGATTGCTGCGCGAGAAGCTCTTCTCGGGGGCCGGTCTCACGTTGTGCACCGAACGCCACCTTGCGAGTTCCGTCTTGGACTGCCCTTGCTCCTCGTTCTGGAAGCACGAACGAGGAAGGAATGGCTCCATCTTCCGGAATAATAAAAGTCCGGCAACTGGCCCGTGCATTTTCACAGTCTCTCCTCTTGCTCAAATGCGTGCTCCTCAAATAGTAGGGACTCCGTCTACGTGACGTTTGTGCATACTAGCATCAAGGTTACTTCTTCCATTAAACTGCCACGTCAAAACTTTTAGTTGGGGATGCCACGGCGGTGACTCTAGTAAAATGGGCTTTTATTTAAATCTATAAACGAATAGAGAGTACCACATCAATTTATTTTGCCGCAACATATACAATTGCGACGAGGGATGGCGAGAAGAGAAAAAACTTGTAGAGTTTTAATGCCCCTAAACCCCAGTTACGTTTGGCATGGATGCACTGCACGACTGCAGTGCAACCCACTTATAACGATAATGAAAAAATCCGAAATTTCAATAGTTATAATCGATTATTGCTGTATCTGGACTAGAAACTGATCTTTATAAGCGATACATTGTTATATGTGGCAACGTTATAAGTGGATTGCACTGTACCAGACCCGTGCATTGCCAGGCTCTTTCCCAAGGTCATGCGACACTTGTGGGTCGTTTGAATGGCTTTGACAGCTTGCAGGGTCTACCGTTGTTTATCCTATAATGAAACGTAGCACAGAATGTTCGGGAAAGTAGCGTGCAGTGCGGGACGCCGACTTACAACGAGGGAGAAGTAGCTCGGGCCGCAGGAGTGCCCGGAAGGAATGTGACGGTCTCGGCTGGGAGGACAGTGAGAATAGCCACAGTAAAACCTTCGCTCTCAATACTGGTTTCGCGTATTCTTCTCGCGCTAGCGACGGGCCTGAATTCCATAGCGTGTCAAAGGAACCTAGTTTGCCGGACGAAGTCGGCCTCATGCAAGCTTTCGATCCTGCCGTCACTGTCACGTTGGTGTCGAGAGCCACGAAACCATCAGTCATATTTTGTTCTTTCAGGCGCAAGTTTTCTTCAATGTCAAGCTCCCTCGATCATTCGCCGCCTCGTCGGCCATCCTTCGCGACAGTATCACCGTCCTCGTCGAGTTCAGAAACCAGTTCCCTCGCTCCATTTGGGAGGGTGTAAGTCGAGCAACTCTATTCCCTCGCATTTGCCATTTACGTACGGAAGATAAAATTCTTTGGTTCTTCGATCGGCCAATGCGTTGGTCCCCAAGCTCCGAAATTTCCTCGACCATCTCCGCCCCAAAGTGAAGCGTCTTTTCGGACGCCATTTCAGCGGATCAGAGCCACGCACTCGTGCGTAACTATGGATTACGCACTCACTAGTGTCCCCCCTATTGCGTACAAGGCCCGTAGATATGTGCCTCGCATTATCTTGTCTACGCCGAGGCAGCCAGGGGTTTTAAGGGGTTTCCCGACTGCCATTTGAGACGTCAAAGAGTGTGAGAATTGCCGAGCTAACATACCCCCCCACAAAGCGGGTCGTGCCACAAATTTCTCCTCGGCCGTAACTCGAGTTGCACTCACCACTCGCGGGTGATGTGTGCCCTGAGCCGGAGGATGGAGCCCCGGAAGAGGGAGACGGAGGCCACCCGGCAGATCAGCTCCTGGCCCATGCGCAAGTAGGGCAGCAGCTCGGGCCAGGGCCGGTCGGGCAGCAGCACGCTCACGGGCACCCGCTCGTGCACCAGGCAGCCCAAATGCTTGCGCGTCATCCTGGAAGGGAAGGCCCCTCAATCGCTTGTTCCGGGGAAGGGCGTCCTCCTTTCGGACGTCCGTTCGGAGGGAGTGCCCGGGATGGGGCGCACCCGGCGAGGGTCGAAGCAACGCCGAGGCGCAGAAAACGCTTTACGGCGGCTAAGACAAAGGCGCCTACAGATTACCTCCCTTCAAAAGCCTAAGGGAAAAGGACGTCGAAACAACAACGCGACTCAGCACACAACGAGCGACGTTTACCGCATTCGGCGTTCTCGCTCGTCTAATTCTGCGCAAAAAACGGATAAATGCGTGTCTGGCCACGTGGGTTGCATTCCACGTTCCCTCACAGGTGTAGTATTGGACGCGGATATTTATATATTTACGTGCCTTGTGTCGTCGTTTCCTTACTTTATCCTAGTTGTTCGGCACTTGTCTTTGCCCATAATGAACCAACTGACCCAACTCACCATTTTGTTGGATATTTACGTTCCTAGCATAATCCCACCGGGCATCTCGGTAAACAACGCGTATGCAAGTGGGTTACCCCCCCCTCCCAAAAACATTTTCTCGCTAGCACTTTTGCATGCCCAGTACGATAAAAAAAAGCCTCCTTGAAGCATTCTCCGTCGATACTTATTTCACCCATTACGTACGCAAATGCCGTCCGCTTTGAACTCCCACGGGGATATGCGTATCAATTTCCCATATAAAATTAAAAGCGCCAAAGATAGACAAGGACAAAAATGAAAGACAAACGGGACAAGCGCTTGCTCTCAACCGAACATTTATTTAAAAACAGCTAATGCAAACAACCACCGATAAAGACACACACTGAATCACCCAATGACGCCACCAATCAGCACGTGTCAGTAAAATCGATCTCTTTCTGATGCAGAAAAATTGACGGCTGGCTGACTGAATTTAGTTGTTCTTGCGGAAAATCACCCGCCTATTTGTTGTCACGTAAATTACACTTTTAGCCAGTCTCTAAGCATGTCGAGATGACGGCTCGTCTAACTCGATTATTTACACTCGCCATTTTATTTTTAGACTTCGCAGTACACACCTGTGAAAGAGGCTCGAATTTTCCTCTGTGGTATGAAACATCATTTCTATTTTAGCGATTGAAAATATTGAAAATGCTCAAAATAAGTTTGCGCGCATCACCTACCAGACATATTAGTCGACATTGTTATTACGACCATATATTAGACAAACAAAACCACATACTTTACTCGACAAAAGGTCTCCTCGGGATGTTAAATATTTTTGTATGTCGCTTCGCGGTTCAATAGAAAGCCCTATTCTCCCCACTTCCATTAACGTTCCCATCCCTATCAGCGGGAAATCTAGAAGTACGAGAGCGTTTCATCCGGGCCTTTATCGCGGCTCATCACTGGCTTCACAAATCCAACATGTTTGTAGCAGGCAGTTTACTGATATCTCGTTTTTTGTAAAAGTCTATGCCCTTGGGACCAAAATGTAGGAATTGCGTTAATCCATTTCCGAATACACGTTCGTGCACTTTATCTCGAAGACCTCACGTCTGTCTGTAAGCACGAGAAAAAAAAAATGGATGAATCGATCGATTGCTTACTCCAGTCACTTGCAAAGTGAGAGCAACAGGGCATTCAAATGCTCGGCCTCCGGACGTGCGCTCCATCCACCTGCCAAGTCTGTTCAATCCTTACCCCTGCCCATTCCTATCTGGATGAGCATCGTACCGGCGTGTGGTCGTGTATCACTACTGTGTGGTGCACAATAAAGACCCCAGGCTAGTGACTGCACCGCACTGGCTGCATCGCTCATCTACAGCCGAGGGTCTGAGACAAGTCGCCCGTTGAGGCAGACTAAGCTCAGGCTGTATAAACACACACACACCCCCTGCACCAAGTGTGCACGTGCGCGCTCGAGGTGCACGAGACATTGAAGTGCCGTCGAAGGCACAAAGCTCACGCCAAAGGCAGGACGACTCCTCCCCGTCTCGTCAGCTACCGTAGCCTTTCCCACAGAGAAGAGACACCTTTGCCGCGACTATACTATACTGGACAGATGATTTGGGAATTTATGCTCTAGTACGACGTTGTAAATGGTTATCTAGACTCACCAGCGCTACTGAACTGCATATTTTTCTCGGAGGGTAAGCCGTGTTCACTCCTTATTTTATCCTTTCCCTTTGTACAAAACTGATCCTATGACTCGTTTGCCACTGATTTTCAACAAATTTGAATCTAGCTCAAAAAATCTTGATATTGACATTTTTGGACCCGAAGGGAAGTTTTGAGAGCGCATTGATGTCTTCTTTCATCCTCATATGTAGACCTTTGTTTTTGTGGATTGGATACAATGTTTTTCGCTGCACCACAAAAAAGGCCTAGAGCTGTTTGTGCGGCACTCAAAATGAAGCGAATCCAAATAATTGAGCCCCCGGCAAATGCCGAGGCCTGGTGCTCACTTGTTGATACGTCCCCTGACCAGGCTGCCCGGCCGGGGCCGGAAGACGAGGAAGTCTGCGGCCACGTCCTCGTGAATGTATGGCTGGTCCCCCAGGATGCTCCCGCTGCTGCCCACCAGGGCGGGCCGCCCATAGTCCAGCAGCACTCCATCCAATCTGTCGACAGGGACGCAGTCTCAATCACTACGGCGACCAGCGCGCGTGTCCACCCAGCGTGTTCACCGTGTCCTCAAAAGCGGTCCCTTTGTTTCTACCCGAAGACTTCGCGGAAGCGTCGCGTTATCGCCTGCCAGCAGCGGAGGTGGGTGTGGGAGGCACCCATTTCGTTGTGGGTTGCTCTCTGGCCAGAAAGTCGATGTAAACAAAAGCAGGCACGAGACGGGAAGTCGCGACCAGCTGCCGGGACTGCAACATCCGACGGCACGGCACGTTAGCTCCTGCGACGCAGCTTGTAGTCGCTTGGGGACCACTTCGATGCATGGGCTGGGCGGAGTCGTATATTGGGAGAGTTTGGCCAGTTTATAATCATGCTGCCGTAACACAGTCGTTCCCAAGTGAGCCAATCATCCTGCGGCGCAGAGTGAGAGGCGCGAGAGCAGGCGCGTGAACTCCGGGTAGCCGGCAGCTGAGCAGGGAGGGCCGCCATTCTCATTAATTTGCCCGGGCATAAGATTGACATCCAAATTTTGTTTCTTTCTTTTTATTCCCCAGGCTCTGCCAAGAAAATGTGTTATGCCTTTGTGGGTTAAAAAGCTAACGAATAAAGTTTTCTCTACGTTTGACCCCAAAACTTTTATTTGGGCGAAAAAGAAGTGGGCCCATAGCAGACGTCGCGTAACCTCGACAGTGCTCTGCACCGAAAGTAAGTCGCGTCAAAATGGCGGTCGTTTCCTCTTTGCTCTCTCCTTCCTCTCTCGCTCTCTCGGCGCTCTCTTCCCTTTGCTCCACTTTTCTGCTCTCCAGAGCCTTCGTCACCACACCTACTGGCCACACTCTCCCAATTCACGGCCATGGGGTGGGAGAGGAGGGTAAACACGACGGCCAAAAACGCACTCCAGACACTAATGTTGCACCGTGTGTCGGGCCCCTCCCTCCTCCGGCGACCCACCATGCACCAAGAAGCCCCCTTCCTCTTCACTCTCGAGCAGGGGCTGGAGGTGCGATGGGGTGGAGCCTGATTGCTATTCTCACCTTCCTTGCAGGGTCAAGCACGACTAGAACCCAATCGTGACTGAATGTCCATTTTTCCGCGATAATAAATGCGACGTCGATGAACACAAAGTTGTTACCACGACTAATTTGAGGCTGTAACGAGCGTGACTCTAGACCTTTCCAAAGAAAACTTTTTGGCCACGGCCATTTTACGATTGTCACAACCCCTTATTAGCCAGAAATATCTGCCACTCGCCTGGACTGCAGAAACCCGGTAGGTGGGATCCTCCACCTGCATTGAGCGGGGTTCACTGGATTTTCTTGAAAGTTTTTACTTTCACTAAGAAGAGACGAACATCCTGAACAGGCAACATTCAGGATGTTTGTCTCTTTTTTGTTATCTTCCACAGTGAGGACCGGGGAATATTGGGGCTTGTAGCCTGCTCGGCTTTTGCGGGAAACAAACCGAGAGCGTAAAAGGACGTCCTTTCGAGGATTATTTAAGCCGAGATTATCTCCAAAGAGCTTTTGCTTCCTTTGCAACAAATACCTAATCGGGTGCAGGGTAGGGTACGGAACAGACATGGTCGTTCCTTTGTTTTGGTGCTTGCAAAAACAAGCTCTCGCAAACCATGCCCTCAAACGAGTTTGGATTCTGTCTGATCGTCCTGAAGTGACCGTCGTCGACCCTGTAGATTAGACATGCTGAGTTATTTGCGATCTTTCACGAATGAACCCTGTTTGGATTGGGGAGGAGGACAGACCGTGACGCCCCAAGCGGTTAACTTTACAACTACACGGATGGGGACAACAAATACAATGACTCAGCACTCGGACGACATAACCAAACGCGGAGTCAGCGTTCGGCTGGAGTTTGTGTTCTCCGGTGAGGGGGAGGACGGGCTCTTTTGTTTCCACTACGGCCTGCATGAACAATGCAGCATGCACGGTCCCAGCTCAGCACATAAGCCGAAGTGGGTCAAGCTCGCATTCTCTGAAAATAGATCCGGCACTAAGCGATTGTTAGTATTTCGCTCTATTGTAGGAGATGACATGAACATTCCCATAAGGCCTGTCGGCATGTGCACAGGCCTTGTGTTGAGTAAACACCGAGCGTGGGGAAAACAAACGGGTCAGAGAGCCCCCTATAGTTCGATCTCCTACCCAATAATGCGGCACCGTGGGGTGAGTTGTATATTTTGTTTGATTGATGAGACTCGTTGAATTTCATGTTGTGAGCGGAGAATATTGGTTACCCTGTGTGGTCAAATATTTTCGACAGTTACAACCTTTGTAGGTTGACACAGTCGAGCGCTTGGCGACGTGAAAAATCTGCATAAAATGCAACAAACATTTCAGTTGCATTCGCCCCGTTGGGCACAGACTCCACAAAAATAGCTTTTATTTTTGTTTTTTCTAGATGCGGTAGAAAGCTTTCTCAAAGAACTCGAGAAATTCTATTTGCCATTAAACACAGACAGAAAACAAATGTGGCAATTTAGCCAATACTAGTGTCCAGAATTGTGTCTAAGCAGGCTGCCACAACCCAATTATGAGAAAAACCACAGTCCAGTGCAGTTGGGCAACACTGACGTACACTCTTAAAGCTATGGTACGTGCGCTGTAGATATCTTGGTTTGAGACTGCCGCTGGAAAGGTCTATATGTGATGCAGCTTTCGTCAGATTTACACGGAGCGAATATTAAAATACCGAGTGAGGCGCGTTGTATTCTAGGCACAGAAAGAATGATGACGCCACAATTTCGAACAAAGGCCGTCGTCGAGATTTATTAACAATATCTAATCGGTTCTGCATGGTGTAGTCTTAATTCGTGCGAGTGTCCATCGGGGAGGGGAATGTACAAGGCAGGAAACACTAAGCCAAACGCTCAATGCCAGTTTTTTTCCTCTTCTTGCCCGTGGTATAAAATGCTGCCAGTAAGACCAAGTTTTGCAGACCCGCGTTTTAAATGCAACATTTCCAGGGCCGCCACCAGAGGAGCCCAAGTTTGTCTGCTTCCTTTGCGGGGGTGACGTCAGAACGCCGAGCTCTGATTGAAGGACAGTGGATAGACCTCAAGGCAGCTTGCTTTGAGGTCTGCCCACTATCCTTCAATCAGAGCCAATCAGAGCTCGGCGTTCTGACGTCGCCACAACCCCCGCAAAAGAAGCAGACGAACTTGCGCTCCACAACAAAAGAACATAGAACTGGGAAGGAAGAAAACATCCTCCAACCAAAATCCAACCAAGAGAGATTTTGGGGGTTAATGGCGCAAAAGCTACGAGGCCATCTGCGCCAAACTAGTTGTAAGGATCATTGTACTAAAGGAAAGGTTTCACAAAAGATGGACCAAAAAGCTAGAGTCGGTGTAAAAGGCCAATACTGCTAAGGAATTCCATTACCCGTTCAAAAGAGACTAGAGGATTCTCTCCCACAAGGAGAGCAGGATGAAATGGGATCTGATATTGGAAAAATTCGGGGAAATGAATGCGGCGCTTGGGCTCAAGGCCGGGACACAGCCACAAGATATGCAAAACAGTGAGCCTGTCACCACACTGATCACACGCAGGTGGATCTTCTCCCGAAAGCAGATACCTACGAGTTATAAATGAGTGTCCAATTCTCAGGCGGCACAACGTTTCATCGAGTCGGCTCTTGCATCAAGAGCTTTCCCAAACTCCTAATGTAGGTTTGGTAACATGAAGCTTGTTATCGCACTCCATGTCCCATTCCAATTGCCAAGAATGAAGAATTGAGGACTTCACCGAGGGCTTAATATCTTGATAGGGTAGACAGGAGAGTGATTGTGGAAGGTTCCCAGCAGACCCTGCAAGTTTGTCGGCTTCTTCATTGCCATGAATGCCAATGTGACTGGGCACCCAACAAGCGCCTGTCCTGTTTACTTCTTGTCCTTGTTCCTGTTGCGCTATTTTATATGTTTGACCCAACAAAATTTTATATTTTGACCCTCATGCGAAGCAGAGTCAAGTTTATATCAAATTTTTTGTACAAGCATATTTTTAGTATCTTTAAGAGAGCAAATTGCAAGAATCACACTTTGAGAGTCAACAAACAGGACCACCCTCAGTATTTTCCTACTGATAATATAGTCAATCACCATTGATACCGCATAGAGCTCCGCAGTAAAAATGCTGGCAATACAATCAACTCGTTGAACCTTGGAGAAGCTTTGACAGTATACAGCGCAACCAACGAAAGATGAAGTCTTGGCGCCATCTGTATAAACATGAAGATAACCATCATACTTGTTTTGCAGTTCAGCAAACTCTTGCTTAATTACAGCATGGGAAATGCCGTGCTTGTTGAACTTCGCGAGAGACCAGTCGGATTCAACTCGCTGTGTTTTCCAAGGTGGAATACCGTCGACTTTCCGAACGAGGCTGACCTGGTCCAGAGAAAGGTCCAGCGAGGAGCGAAGATGTTCAATGCGGAAGCTTAACGGTCTTACAATGCTTGATTTATTTTCAAAAAGGCGATAGGGAAGAGTAAGTTGGATGCTGAGGGTCGGCCAGAATCTTGTAAGCATATGTTAGACTAAGATATGTACGTCGTTTGTTCAGGGACAGCTCATTGGACTCTGCATACAAACTGAGGACGGGGGACATCCGGAAAGCTCCTGTTGCCAGTCGCAAGCCGAGATGGTGAACCGAGTCCAACATCTTAAGGGCAGAGGGCCGAGCCGACCCATACACTACTGCACCATAGTCAAGGCGGGATCGTACAAGGGCATTGTATAGCTGCAGGATACATTTTCTATCAGACCCCCAAGACTTGTGAGATAATACTTTCAGAAGGTTTGTCGACTGAAGGCATTTTTGCTTCAGCGCTTTAAGGTGGGAAATAAAATTAAGCTTTCTATCAAATATCACACCAAGAAATTTGTGCTCTTTCCTAACAGGTATAGGAGTTCCATTCAATTCCAGGGATGGATCCAAAGAGAGCCCACGTCGCAAAGAAAAGGGAACACAGACCGTTTTTGAAG